CAAATATTCCAATAGCACCATTTTATCTAAGCACATACAATGTTCATTGTGCATACTGTATATACATCACGTTTATGTAAGTTCATAACAGCTGTTCCACGGTTTCAGAATATGTATTCCTGTCCATACCTCAGTGGCTTTAAAATAGCCTATAGGTAAAGTAAGGGTGTAAAGTCAGTACAAGTGGGTCATGTTAACTTCAGATCAACTCCAAGAGTCATGATTCTTATTGTTTGGATTAATCCATTATTCTCAGCATTTCATCTAACACCTTCTCCTTAAAATGACAGGATAGACTTTTGTTTAGTTTTCAACTGCAGTGAATTGGTAAACTTTAATTTTAAGTCTAGCAAATGAAACCAAAGGGTTCACAGAGGGCCCACCCAACACTTGAGTGTGCACATCACAAATCATGCAAAAGTATGGATATTATACAAACATTGAGATATGCAACAGATTATCCAGAAATACTCTCTGTTTATGATTCATCCTAAAAAATAATGTCAATGATTGAAGTATTTCCTATGTGTGAACAATGTCAGACAGCTGATAACCACTACTGTGGTTGGCAGAAGGGTCCTTTCTGTAAATCATTACTCCCTACCCCACACGCAGTTTGATATCTTGATAAAGTTCTGTGACTAGCTTCCTAATGAGAATGAATGACTTGCAATATTCTGGGAGTGAACCACTTAGTCATTCCTAAAATTGAAAGGGAGATGACTCTAAGGTACAAGGTCACATACCACTGTCACAATTATTCTGTCTAATGAGATATCAGAAGCAATTCACAAGTTCAAAAGTCCTTATAAGGGTAGCCTAGGGATAAAAAAAAAATGGAATCCTTACAGTAAAGTTGCGAGAAATGAGCAGCTTTGGCAACAGAGTGCCAGTATAAATGAAGTGCAATATCTCCTCTGTAAAATAGATAAATAAATAAAACATTTGCACTTTAAAGGAGTGGCACAGAGAAAGATTTTACTTTTATGTTGTCAAGGAGAAACGTTTTATTTAGGGATGTATCAAAATTTTCTGAAAGCATGTGTGCCAGGTGTATCTAATTATCAGTCACTTCATCCTCATTATAAAACTGCCCTTGGGAGGCCAGCATTCTGTGTGTTATAATGAGGTGCATGCAATAATAAGTGTGTTTAAGGAACGTTAGGATTTTAATAAGAGATTTATGCAATTTCAAATAGTCCTTAAAAACTGCCTTCTTCAATTGAAAGGCCCTTAAATACAAGTTTCTGACTTATGCCAAACATTTCAGTCCCTCCTTCCAGTGCAAGCAAACATGACTTTCTTGAGATATTATTGCAGTTTTTCTAAAAAAGTTTCTCTTTGACTTAACAACAAAAATATCACCAAAACCAATTTTCATATGACATTTCTGTGCGTGACTACCTACCTTTGTTGTGGCAATCCTTCACTCTCTCTTAGCAATGGCCTGATTATGTCATATATAGAATTTCAGAAACCGTAATTACACACCTTTGTCTCTGAAAAAATGATAAGGAAATAAAGCTGCTTTCAAACCACAAAAACGGTTTAAGAATGAACAATTGCATCACTTTTGAGTTCCAAAACTCTGATATTTTGCCTTCTAATATTAGATGTAGTTTCAGTCTGTTTATGAATCTCCCAACCTGAACACTGTCACAGCGATTTCACCTCCATGATACAACAGTGTCTATTGGATGTTGCAAAAGCTGATAGGAAACATGAAAAAAGATTCAAAAGCAGTTTCCCAGTTCCCCCCCAATCTGGACAGTAGAATATTGTTGAATTGTGGCAATTTATGAAAAGGACTGCTGTCTTTGCTACTGGGAAATAAACCAAAGGAACACCTGCCAGATTCATAGAGACTAATCCATGATAGCTTAAACAAGAATTTAGTACAGTTAATGTTAAAGTCATTTTTGTCCTTCTCCCTAAACTGACCAGCCCTTAGCCATTGGTCTCAAGGAAATCCCCACTCCACTCAGTCATTTGAGTTACAGTACAGTACATTAAGACTTGCACTACCATTAAAATACTGTTGCTTGGGATCACATAAATAAGGAGGATTCCACAGTATGATTTAACAGTTAAGCTAAGGGTGATACAATGTGTATGCAGCCCAACATTTATTGGTCTTCCAAGTATAACTAAAGAAATTTTAGAAATGTCACTTCAACTGTACTTTACAGAGTCCGTTTAAAGGCTGGAACTAAATCTGGAACATCAGTATCTTGGGAAGTACTCTATAACATTTTGTTACTTGAAACAAAATAAACACACACATAAAACCTGCAGTACAGTTGGAAACAAAGCACCGGCTTGAGAAGATTATCAGATGGAAGTTTTAGCACAGACAAGACTGCTCCACAAATAGCAAACACTCACAGTAAAGCTAAATTGAAGTAAATGAAAATATAATAACAAAAAATCAAAAGCAATTTTGAATGGAATCAAACTCACAATCAATTGTGAAATTGTAAAATCAAGCCACCTCCATTGAGGAGAGCAAAACTAGACGGTGGTGATTTTTTCTGTAGTTTAGGTAAAGTCTTTCTGAGCATTTCCTGGGAACTTCCTGTGCCATCTTTGAGGATCCCAAGGAGTATTCAGATCCTAGTTACAGAACCACTGATCTGCATTTTTATAGCTGACTGTCTTTTTGTAAAAGTTCTGATTCAGGCTCATAGAACAAAGAATGTACAGTACAGTATATAGAACTTTCATAGGTAATTAATAATGGGTCTTAAAAGCATCAATTTAAAAAAAAGTAGTGAAATGTCAGGAACATAAAAATAAACAGCTACTGTATGTAAAAATGCTTACATAGAGCTTTTCACTATGCTAAGGAGAAAAATAAACTGCTCCCCACTAGTAGAAATGTACTGTAACTAAAGCAATAGAGCCTTATTAGTGAATTTCTATCAGTAAGCACTGTCTTAAAGAGGCTTCCATCATTCATTTACAGAAATGCTTTCATTGAGTGGAACATATCCCCATTAAAGAAGAAGCATATCATTTTTAACCACCAAAGATTTAATTAGTGATTTTGTTTTCTTGCAAAAATTCAGTTGTTTATAATATTGTATGAAAGGTCTACTGATAGGTCCCATTTATTTTTGTAGTTGTAAACAAGCTAGCTCTGTTGCTGTATTTTAAAATACTTCTGTTTTTTAAAGTAAACGGAGCCATCTCTTTCAAGTCCTAGATTAGCATTTATTATCCACAAATGCACCTAATCCTTGAGGTAAAAACATGTATGCTAAAATCAAATTAATTTTCTTTGTAAGCTTAACAAAGATTCCTATCTGACAAATACAGTATCTTCATCACAAGGCCAGCTTGTTATATAGGTTACAGTTTCCATTTCCCTCGAGAATTACAGTACTGTACTCCAAAGGTTTTGCTAAAACATATTTGATGGAAAACAGTGTTTTCTCTAAAGTGTAAAGGGAAAACAGCTGCATAGAAACAAACTAAAAAATAAAAAAATAAAAATAAATCACATAACGTGACTGGGAATTAGTATAGTATACTATGGTATAGTAATTAGAATTTAGCAGAGTTAACACACATGCAGAAACTATAGTTATAGCTGTTTTGAACTTAAAGGTCACAGTGTCAATAGCAGATAACATGTCTCATTAAATAATTAAATCATGATTATTTCAGAGAATCTCAAATTATAGTAAAGATTGCCACTATATACACACACACATTTGGCTTCATCAACAAGTGAGGTATGGTTATTGTAGACTTCAATCAGGTGAAAAGTGTCTCCTGTGGTGTGTGGTGTAAAAAGGAAATGTCCATTTCTGAGCTAAAGTGGCTCATTGAGCCAGAGCTCATCCTGGTTTCTGTCGCTTTAAGCAAATTAGGGAGCATGTGACTTCCCTGGATGGGATGCTGGTCCATCACATGGATACCCCCAGCAATGCTGGCTCCCGGTTATACTACTGGGTGGACTGGAGCAAATAGGGTACCTCTCTTAAGGTACAGGTACCTGTACAACAGCAGTGTCTGCAGCAGAGACTTGAACCCACAAACTGTCAACTATGAGTCCAAAGGATTACCTACTACACTACGTCACCACCTGGTGTGAGACATTGCCAAATCTAAGAAAAATTAGTCAAATAACTGTATACTGTATATACTTCAAAATGTGAAACAGTGAATTAAAAAAAATGCAATAGTTATAAGGAAACAGAAGGGGCCCCATGATTTTGCAACATTGTTTACATCTTCATCACATGAGTATACAGTAAGACACCCTCCCATGACTGAAACACAGGCTGTCAACTCACTTGGCTGGCCTGTCCAAGAGGACACACTGAGGCAAGTCCTAGAAAAGTTTCCCTACATCTACATTCTACAGTAAAGTGAAGGGCTAAAGCCTCTGGAGAAGACAAAACAACTTAAATTCAACCAAAATACTTCAGCTTTCAAAAACAAAAGCAATAGGATAGGAAAATAACAGGTTTAAGTCACAAAACTACTATTATTAAGTGCAAGACAAACCTACATTCTTTTCTTATTCCATCAGACTTGGCAATACATTTATTTTGCAGCATCAAAATAAAAAGGCTAAATTCAATTATGTTTTTTTTTTTCCAATTGTATGGACATTGAAAATAATGTATCCATTACAGAAATGGACTTTTTAGAGACAGCATATTCTATTAGTTACAGATTTACAGGAAAACATGACTATAAATATTTTATTAGATGGCATCATGATAATTAGCAGGCATTTTTATAAGAACATATTGCACCTCCAAGCCATTATCACCAACCACAATTTTAAATCAACGTTTCGAAAATGAGCCATGTATTTGCTGGATGTGGCTTAAAAATATCCCACCTCAGCAATTCCTTACAACTGAGCCAACACAAACTCATAATTGAATACTTCCCACAGTCAGTCTATGTAATGCCATTATATAGCACTAGGAACCACTGCAACTAAAAAACACAATGCAAGTACAACTCCAATAGCTACTTACTATACACCCAGTTAGATGGTTTCAAATGCCTTGGAAACTGGAATTTAACAACAAAAAAGGCAATGATAAGCAACTATTTAAGAATATACATAACAAAAACATATCAACACATACATTTATTCATGGAAACCAATATTTATATGACTTTACATAACACAATTGAAATGATTACTTACTAAGACATCCAGTATAAATCTCTTTGGAAATCCAGAGGAGTCTTATCTTTCTTCTCCCCAGTCAGAAACAGCAATGCTTTCTTATTCCAGACACAGGCCCCAAATGAACTGCAAGAGAGAATACATCACACAGGCACATCAGCCCCATTAATATATCTGGGGTTCCCCCCAAAAAGTGTAATTGTTTCAGAGAGAAGAAGTAAAATATGCATTCATTGTTAAGTTATCTGCAAGGGTAGTTGGTACCTGCTCTCTCTCTCTCTCTCTTGCTGTAGCTGGAGACAATGAGAGCGGTAATGAGAAAGACAGAAAAGTGAGAGCTAAGCTTTCTTTAGAGAGACAGTGCTGCTGTCAAATTGTACCACACACTGCTGCTGGCGATGTAAGGAGAGCGAGAGGCACAGCGAATGCGAGCAAGGGAGAGAGAGAGACCGAGCGAGAAATAGATGAGATGCTTTCACACACCTGCATTTCCTTAACGAGCCACTTGATGGCCGGCAGGAAGAGCATTTTTGCTGTTCCTTTCCTTTTGACACCGACGCTGTCGATGATTAGCAGAAGAATTAGTTGTTTCCAGATTGCTGTGTCAAGCTGCAATCCATTACAACTAGATTAGTTGCGCTGATAAAATGTAGAACACAGCACCTCGGTAGCATGTAGCTTCCGAAATGCTGACATTTAGCTGATTTTCAAGTTGCAAAAGTATTGAAGGTTCCAATCTTTGCGCTTGTTAGAAGAATGGAGAGAGAACCTGCTGGCATTAATACCTCCGGCAGCAGGGGAAACTTCATCTCAAGAAAATGACTGTTTTGCATATGTGAAAGTTTTTTTTTTTCTAGTATTGTGAATGTATGTATTTGTTCTGCATTCGTGACGGCGCCACTGTGCTTACTGCTAACCAGTTAAATGCGAATAAGAAAATTAGGAGGGATGGTACCCGCAGTGTGTTCTAACTACTGGATAACAAACCTGAAGATCCGCTTTCGGGCAGTACGTCTGAGATGGGTGTTTTTCAATTAAGCAAAGCCAGTTTGTGTACAGTATGTGTGTGTTTGGTGTACTGCAAAATAAGTGTAAAGCAAACACTTCATCACGAACTGTAAGATCGTAAGAATCACATCATCTGAATCGCGAAATCACGTTGTACTTGGTACAGTGTGGGCATTGTACATACAATTCAATTTGAAAAAGTGTTACTTTCGCTTACTGAATTCGTTTTTAACCGACTTTTTAAAACTGCATATCAGTCTTTTTATTTGATCCAGAAGGAAATTAATTCAATTTCAGTGAGGCTCGGCTACAAAAGTCGACCCTCACCGATCAATTTACAGACTGCCAATTTAAAGCTTTCACACAATCCTTGAGACAGAATAGTGTTTACATTTCAAAATATTCTTAAGGTAATTATTTTTGTGTATTGAGATGAGATTTTTGCTAAAGAATTAATGATACAGGTTCCTTATTTAATTGTATAGCATCTTGTCAATTAGTATTTCGCCCTTGTTTGCTCAAATTACTCCTCTTTAGTTTGAGTAGCAGCAGAAAGTGATTATTTTTATATGATATGAAAGCGTGTTTGAATTATTATTATATAATTATTAAAAATATCAAAATAAGGAAAAGGCAAACACTACAATGAAACGGAAAATACAGTATGTTAACATAGACGTTGTTTGGGGGGTAATTTAAAAAAAATATTACTGTATTGTTTTGGTGTTTTAGAGTAAATAAGTGATAATGCCAATTCAGCAAATGTCTATATCTCACTTTAGCAATTTTTTAATTAATTTCTCCTTAGGAATAACTTTCAAAACTTGTACTTTCTGTGTCTGGAAATTGTGTAGTCAGGTGCTAATAGTGTTCAAGTAAATGTTGAAGTAATATAATATTTATTATAACTTGCATGTCTAACGAGGTCAGTTTCAAACTGACACCTTTTGAATATTATAATACATAGCTCCAAATTCTGCAAGCATTGCATTTTTAGTTGAAGTAAAGCAATTAACCTGTTATAGAAGCAGAAGAAAGCTTCAGTTTCAAGATGATGCATAATTTGAGGAAGAAGGCTCCAATGGCAGAGAAGTGATGTAATTCTCCATTGTGCATGATGTAACACTATGGTAAGCCTCAAGTGCTCTGTGACAGCTACTGTAATTTATTCATTAACAGAGTAGGTAACTATTGTAATTTTGTCATGCAATTCAAAGCAATATAACCAATAGACAAACATTATTTGTTGTTATCAAAGTAACACAGAAAGTCAACAGTCAAGTAAAGTATATACAGTAAGATAACATAAAAAATAGATTAGTAGATTCAAAATATGAAAATCAAGTTAAAGGAACAAGAGAGGGGCAAAGCCTCATAAATATGATTACATTTTTATATCCAGTACAGAATAAAGGTATTAACGGAAAAAAAAAAATGCGAAATGCAAGTTTTAACCAGCCTAATCAAACATGACTAGAACTTATGTCATACTTTGGTCGATTGAATTGATTCAATGTCTCATTATTATAGAGTACTTTGAGACAGTCGCTTTGCTGTTCCTTCTTTTAACTTACCTCTTACAAAAATGGGTATATGGAAAAAAAAAGCTGTAAATTGGGTGTGAATTTCATCAGTTGTCTCACTGAATAAATTTGATAGCTTTGCTTTATTTGCTGCTATCACAAGCATGCTCCAAACAAGGGATGAAATTGCTTCCAACCTGTCATTGTTATCACCTATCTGGGCTATATATCTTTCAGTTTTCTTTTATGTATTTATTTGAATAGTTTTCCTGAAGAATGTTATGTACAGTATGGAAGTCTAGAATGAGATTCACGTATTTTTTGGAAGTGTTGCACATACAGTAGGTGTTCTAAATGTTATATTTCTTCCTGGCGTTACTGGGAATATATATGGAAGGAATAGCTGTAATTTTCTAAAAATTTTAAGTTGAAAAACTGCTCCTATCTAATTTCTTTTCTGTGTCACTGAATTATGAAAGTAGGAGGCAACATATAAGCAGTGAGTGGACAATAGAGTTGGACAGCTCCTGCCTGATACCGTTTTAATTTCTAGAACACTTTAAAAGAGATTTTTAAAGTTGAAACTTATCACAATGCAAAATCACCTCAATATGAAGAGGGAAATGTGTTTCTGTGTTCTTTTTTAAACACGTGTCAAGAACATTGAAGTCATCAATTTCAAATTCCACTTTTGTGGTATGGAAATAGGTGTGGTGAAGTCTGGTGTGGCTGAGGGTTTCAACTTCAGTTCTGCTTTCATTAGCCCTCACTTGATCAGAGAAGTAACCTTTCAGTAGCCTTGCCTGAGGTAAAATGATGATAGCTTTCAGACAGACTCCAAAAGATCGATTGGCTTAAAGCCAAATCTTATTACAGTCCCTCCTTGAAACACTGAAATGTCTTTTACCAAGCTAAAGTTTTTTTTTTTTTAGAATTATGTAGTTTTATGATGGATTACTTCACGTAATATAAACACGGTCTCACTTGTCATCTATGATCATATTTTTCATGAAGCTCCAGTTCTGCATGATTTTGGTTTTATTATTTATTTATTTTACTGGAAGCCCTTTTCTAAGCAACTTTCCCCGTGGAGACTTCTTTGAGATGACAAGACGGATTTAAGATAGAGATTAAAATTTACACAAAATTGAATGGTATACCTGAAAAACACAAACCTGTATAAGTACTCCAAAAAGTACTGTAGTATTCCAAAAGGAAGGTGTTATTTAATTTTAATAAGGATTGTGCATTAACTCAAGAATACCATTAACCCTATAATGTGCATTTTATTTGATAGTCACTGCCTTGTTACTAATATTCCAGGTAAACCCTTCTAAATCTAAAGATTAATTCCTGTCAGACGTTATTACATTGATGAATGTAATGAATTTTGAGCACATCAAATTTGCAACAACCAGATGTCTACAGGTTTTACAGATACTTTGCATTTAACAACTTATTAAGATCTACTGTATAATTACAAGTTATCTGACTACTTGCCCAAATAATTAATTTGATTAAGCAATTAATGTTAGAGTTGTAATCCTTCAGTGAACTGTGTGTCTTTAGAGGACTGAATTTGTCTCTCTCTGATTTAAACTGTCTCAGAAACAGATTTATCACCATTTGTTTTATCTGTTGTTCTTTCTACTAACATAAATAGTATTCTTAATTAATTTATACTACGGAAATACCAATATTTATTGGCGATATACAATTTGTTGTATTAGGAATATAAAGTGATCTTATATTTATTTCTTTAAAGCAAAAAAAGGTGTCAGTTAGATCTGAAGTACAGACATACAGTACTCCTAGCAGCTTATCCATCTGCCCCTCAAGATTTTTAGTACCTCAGCCTTGAGTAAATATATTGTAAATATATCAAACAAATAGTGATTGTGTTATTCTAAATATTTAGGTGCAAGTGAGTGCCATATACCCCAAAGAAGTAGACACATCATATGAAAATAGTGGGATGTTGCATAGCTATTACTGTAAATAATAATTATGAAAGTTATTTCTGTAAACCCATGTTTTGTCTTTTTAATGTTTATGTGTTCATTATATACTTAATTATCATCTAAACATTAACAAAACAAATGTACACAATACATAAATAATCCTAATCCTTTACATAAATAACTTTCCACCCACGATAATAGTTCTATATATACTTAACATCCATTACACATAAATACTACATAGTTCAGGCGGGTCCGTACTAAAAGTGGTGCTTTTAAAAACTTTTACAGAAGTTAAAAACACAATTTGAAACAGTTCAATTATGAACTTTAAAAGACACGTATAACAAAATGTATAACATTTTCATTTAACACTAAATAGGGGTGATGATACTATATGTCCATCTTAGATAAGGAATTAAATTAGGGACATTAAATTAAATTAGGGAGTGTATAGCTAAAAGTAAGAAGTCAAGCTGTCCATTGAATAGGAAGTTGAGTTTACATTCCAATAAAGACACTAAAATTGACATGATTATAAATCATTGGATTTCCTCGATCAGTGTCTGTATAGCCATCCAAAGTATAATACATACTGAAAACTGTACAATTACACTGCACATAATGCACTTATCCTGCAAAAAACTCATGTGGTTGACTCTTTTTTGTGGATGAGCAACTACAAGTTCAATTAGGAAGTAAATTAGACATCCTTGACATTTTACACACAGCTAATTATGTTCATAGCAAGTCAGGCAAAGAAAGCTCAGTCTCTCTCAAAACATGGCTACACATATATACATGTTTATATACACTACCGATAACATGGGGGGGAAATCCTTCACAGCTGCATGTACAGTACATTGCATGTACTGCATGTATATCAAACAGTATTGTGTAATTACTGTAGAATAATATGTATCTAGG